CTCTCTGATTGGGCTAAGACTAGCCAATCGTCGAGATAGTTCAGGATGTGCATTCCGCTCTGCTTCAGAGGAGAGAGAGCTGCATCCATGCATTTCGTAAACGTATTAGGGGCCAGGGATAAACCGAAGGGTAGGACCGTGAATTGGTACGTTATCCCCTCAAATTTTAATCTCAGGAAACGCCTGTGGCGAGAGGCTACCTGAATGTGAAAATAAGCGTCCTTTAAATCCACAGAGATAAACCAATCTCTCGGTCTGATGTGTGAGAGGATTTGTCTCAGCGTAATCATTTTGAACGATTTTGAACACGATTCAGCGGTCTCAGGTCCAAGATGGGGCGGAGTCCACCGTCTTTGGTACCATAAAATAGCAACCGTAGAAGCCGCTCTCGCGGTCTGCTAGGGGCACTGTCTCTACAGCGCATTTTGCGAGGAGGTTGTGTATTTCCTCTCGCAGAACTGAGGCATTCCGCTCCCGTACAGTGGACATTAACACACCGTTGAAACGGGGCGGCCTGCGGAAGAACTGAAGCGTGTAGCCGTTCTTTATTGATTTCATAACCCACTCTGATACCCCTGGTAGTGCCTGCCACGCTTCTGTGAACTGTGACAGCGGGTGAGGTGGACTGCACACCGTGAGTGATAACTTGCCGTTGGGGGGTGGGGATTTTAATACCACACGAGTGTGAGAGTGAGTGATGGGGGAGAGTGGAGTGAGAGGAGGAGAATTGCTTTGAAATTGAGGTGAGTTTTGTATGTTTTTTGACTTTATTGCACTGCATAGTGGAACAGTCAAAACACAAACATGACAATTGCTCTCGCCGCCTGCAACAGGCAGGGGGGCGTGGTGAACACACACAGCAGAGCAAGCAGACTTTTTCAGTGGTTTCTTCAGCGCTGGGTGCAGATTTCCTCCTCCGAGAGACAGCATCAGGAACGCGGCTTTGATTCCGGTGCCGGTGGCCTGCCGTCTTCGGCCAAGGCTGTCTTGGTCTCACCACCCGCTCATGTTCGCGCCGAACAGTAGCAGAAGAGGCATGCGGTCTTCCAGCGCGCTGCGCTGCGGAGGAGTGGGAACGCGCAGGAGGGTTCGCGCCGGCGCGCTTTGGCAGGAAGTGGTTAATAGCCTTCGACTGTTTCTGCACTTCAACAAAACGCTCTGTGAAAGTCTCTACCGCTGCTCCGAAGAGACCTGAGGAATTCACGGGAGCGTCCAGAAGGGCCGTTTTTTCCGAGTCCTTCAACTCGGTCAGAGTAAGCCCCAGGTGACGATCTAGCACCACAAGATTCCCCATGTTGCGGCCAATTGTTCGAGCTGTCACCTTCGTCGCTCTGAGGGCCAGATCCGTGGCGCGTCGGAGCTCTTTGAACACGTCAGGGTCCGGCCCGTCTTCATCCAGAGACTTGAGCAGCTTGGCCTGATACA